TTCAGGTAAATAAATAGGATTAACTGCAAGGCATCTTGTCAACTGATCTCTCACTAAATAAACTAAAGTCTTTCCAAACACTTCGATATTACGGGGAACTGAATATGCACTGACCCAGAGTCATGTTTAATAGTGCCCCTCCTCCAGGAAGCAGTGATTCAGCCCATTGCACTCAAACATCCTGATGTGCCACCTGAACATGGGGGATATTCCCTCTTATATAAACTTTGCAGTCTTGGCATTGTGTGATTTTTGGGAACTCCTCAGAAGGTAAGTGAGTGAACTTCTCTTTACAGCTACCTACAAAAGGAGCATGAGAATGTCAGGGAATGCAGGGTCCTTTTAATTTCTTCTAGCATTTTTATCAACCTAAAGTTGGTTAGTCATTTAAGACTTAATCAATTACATACGTAATCAATTATATACTATTATTGGAGCCCCCCATGGTGCAATGGGTTAAACTGCTGAGCTGTGAGCTTGTTGACCGAAAGGTCACAGATTCGAATCCGTGGAGCAGCGTGAGCTTCCGCTGTCAGTCCCAGCTTCTGCCAACCTAGCAGTTTGAAAACATGCAAATGTGAGTAGGTCAATAGATACTGCTCCGGCGGCAAGGTAGTGGCACTCCATGCAGTCATGCTGGCCACATGATCTTGGAGGTGCCTACAGACAATGTCAGCTCATCGGCTTAGAAATGGAGATGAGCACCAACTCTCAGAGTCGGACACGACTGGACTTAATGTCAGGGGAAAACCTTTACTATACTATTATTATTTATTTAATATATTTATTGTGTCAGAAGCAAATTGAGAATACAGTTATAATGTATATATTTTAAAAAAAACACAAACAAAGTTAAAAACTTGGCATTATACTAGATTTCCTTTGACCAGAAGCTGGCCACTTGGAGTGCCTCTGGTGTTGCTGCAAGAAGGTCCTAAATTGTGCATGTGGCAGGGCTCAGGTTGCATTGTAGTAGATGGCCTGTGGTTTGCTCTTCTACACACTGACATGTTGCGGACTCCACTTTGTAGCCCCATTTTTTTAAGATTGTCTCTGCATCCCGTGGTGCCAGAGTGCTGTCTGTTTAGCACCTTTCAAGTCACCCAGTCTTCTGTGTGCCCAGGAAGGATTTTCTCAATGGGTTTCCCTCCATACTTGAAGAGTTTGGTTCATCTATTGGTCGATGTGGCAGATGAGTCAAGTCTATCGGCCAGGTTGTTATCCAGCATGGCAAGCTAAGATAGCAAGAAGAGTGTCATTAGAAACTGATCAAACTCTGGGTTGTTGTAGGTTTTTCCGGGCTATATGGCCATGTTCTAGAGCAGGGGTCCACAAACTTTTTAAACAGAGGGCCAGGTCACAGTCCCTCAAACTGTTGGAGGGCTGGGTTATAATCTGAAAAAAAAATGAATGAATTCTTATAATTTGAAAAAAAAGAACATGATGTGCAGCATATCTTATTCCAAATAAGATATGCTGCACATATCTTATTTGTAGTGTAAAACACTTAAAAACAATACAATAATTAAAATGAGAAATAATGTTAACAAATATAAACTTATTAGTATTCCAATGGGAAGTGTGGGCCTGTTTTTGGCTGATGAGATAGGATTGTTGTTGTTGTTGTTGTTGTGTGCTTTCAAGTAGTTTCAGACTTAGGTTGACTCTGAGAGAGGGCCGGGTAAATGACCTTGGAGGGCTGTATCTGGTCCCCGGGCCTTAGTTTGAGGACCCCTGTTCTAGAGGCATTTTCTCCTGACGTTTCGCCTGCATCTATGGCCGGAAAAACCTACAACCACCCAGTGATTCCGGCCATGAAAGCCTTCGACAATACATTGATCAAACTCTTTTGAAGGTTTAGCAACCAAAAAGATGTAAACAACCAGAGTTCTAACTAAAAATTGAGTCTCAACAAGAACTAGAATTGGGATTGTTGAGGTTATGGGAGCTTTATATTTAACTCTCAGTGTTTAAAGTATCCTTAATATGAAGTTTTGACTTATTACTACTTTATCACACTAGAGAATGAATCCACTTTAAATCTGGTTTCTGCCTCCTGTGGAATTCTGAGGATTGTAGTTTAGTGAGGCTGTTAAAGGCTTCTCCCTAAACTACAAACCCCAGAATTCTGCAGGAGGCAGCAACTGGATTTGAAGTGGATCCATTCTCTAGTGTGATAGGGCCCTTAATGAGAGAGCCAGTCCTCACAGCTCTATTTATTTATTTAGAACTTTTCTATCCCGTTCTTCTCTACCTCTGTGGAGGCAGAGACTCAGAACAGCTTACAACAGTAAGAATTCAATGCTACACAATGAATAACATTTTAAAACAACAGACATAATAAATAAGTTATAAAATTGTAGTCGCCTTCAGGTTGAGAGAGGTGATATATAAATATGGTAAATAAATAAATAAATAAATAAAAAATAAAATATAAAAGTTCGCCGAGTTAAAAACATCATCCAACTCAACCCAAACATTGTGGTCCAATAACTCTTAGTCTTCACCGGTTCAGTCCATCAATCTGCGAATGCCTGATTCCAAAGCCAGGATTTCAGTTGCTTCCTGAAGATCAGGAGGGAGAGGGCAGACCTAACCTAATTGGGGAGAGAGTTCCATACCTCTATGATCCTTTCACATTCTTTGAGACCTATTTCAAGATGTTAGTTCTGCAATTAATATGTGCAATCAGCGGAGTTAACGGGAGCAGTGGTGGCGCAGTGGGTTAAACCCTTGTGCCGGCTGAACTGTGAGACAGAGTGAGCTCCCATCTGTCAGCTCCAGCCTCACTTGCAGGGACGTGAGAGAAGCCTCCCACAGGATGGCAAAACATCCAGGCATCCCCTGGGTAATATCATTGCAGATGTCCAATTCCCTCACACCAGAAGTGACTTGTGGTTTCTCAAGTCACTCCTGAAACAATAAAAAAAACCCCACTGATTGAGGTTCCAGGTTTTATCCTGCCATTTTTGGACTCTCGCTTGCTGAGGTGTTCCTGCAAGTATCTCTGTAGATCTTAGAAAGCTATTTCTTGATTTAAGGCGTTGGCTTGTTGGCTGATATCCAAACAGAGGATGGGTCGGAGATACCAATGCTTTGGTCCAATTATATACTAAGAAATGTATATATCAGTGAAACAGTAGTTCTTGAGAAAAACATGGAAAATTTGCTCTATGGTTTTTGAAGATAATGACATTGAATGATTATAACAAGCATCATCTTATTGTAAAGAGGCATATTGCATGGTGTAAAAGGGAACAAGAAATCGGGGGTGCCTCTTCAAAGAGGACACCAAATATCCACTTAACTACTCCTTGGTTTCCTTTGAACTCTCTCAATGGACTTTAAAAATCAATTTACCCTAATCAGTAAATCTATAAAAATGCTTCAGAGCTAATAGACAAGATCAAACAAAATACAATCTGTTAAGCTTGTGTAATGAACATTACTTCTTTGAAGAAAATAATTGATTAACAATCCATGTCTAATAGAGATTTCACTGTGGACAGACAACTGTGGAAAATATATTCACAGATAGTCCTGTTGAGTAGCTGTAGTGTTAGACTAGGACTCTGGTAGGCCAGGGTTCAAATCCCCACTTAGTCATAGAAACTTAGCTTTGGGTAAGTCCCACTCTCGCCTAGGAGAAAAGTAATGGCAAAGCCTCTCTGAATAAATCTTGCCAAGAATGTGATGATTGCAGAATCTTAGGTAAAGGTTCTCCTCTGACATAAAGTCCAGTCGTGTCCGACTCTGGATATTGGTGCTCATCTCCATTTCTAAGTCAAAGAGCCGGCATTGTCCATAGACACCTCCTAGGTCATGTGGCTGGCATGACTGCATGAAGTGCCATTACCTTCCTGCCGGAGTGGTACTTATTGATTTCCTCACATTTGCATGTTTTCGAACTGCTGGGTTGGCAGAAGCTGGGGCGCGCAGTGGGAGCTCACTCAGCTCCCCAGATTCGAACCACCATCCTTTGGGTCAGCAAGTTCAGCAGCTCTGCGGTTTAATCCATTGCATCATCGGGGGCTCCAGAACCTTAGTAACAGTTAAATTCACTCACAAGGGAGTTGGACATTTCGTTACTACAGCAAAGTTACAAATGAAGAAAATGTGGGCAACTTCTCAGTTTCAGTCTCGAAAAACCCACCCCTCAACTCCCAAAATTTTCTCCATTAAGCCTCCAAATATGGCAAACATCCTCATGGATGCTTGCCAGAGACGCAGGCGAAATGTCAGGAGAGAATGCTTCTAGAACATGGCCATATAGCCCGAAAAACCTACAACAACCCAGTATCAGTGGTATTAGGAATCTGCTCTGGGTTTTATTCTGAATTATAAAGAAGCTATCCAGGGTGCCAGACCTATTGTGGAGAGACACTCCAACACTTTAAAAGTTCATATAGACATATGAGTTAAACATAGAGCAGTTTCAGCATCCACTATCATTAGAGTCACTAGATACCATGATTATGGTTCTCGAAATTATGGACTATAATTATTATTCCTACTCAGCACAGCTAAGGGTTAGGGTTAGGGTCATTCAGTAACAGCTGGAGACAGAAACACATTGCTCATCCCTAAATTAAATGCAGTCAGAGATTTGAAATCACTTTAACCTTGGTTTTTATACTGTGCACTTGATTTGCTCTTAAGGATGGCTGCCATTGTTATTGTTGTTGTTGCTAAAATGATGACAATATGTTTAAAAACATGCAAATATCAACCTTGAAATTACATGAAGCTGTAAACAATATTAAAAGAATTTAAACAGACACTGGAAAAGGGATAAGGCAGTTTAAAAAGTAAAGGATGAAACAATACAGCATCCTCTTATAAGCTCTTTCCTTGAAAGTTTTCAGTTCTTAAATTCTTTTCTTGCTAATGGAAAGACTAGTAATCAGGAAGACCTCTCCCGATCCTATGCTAAATCTTCTATGGGGCCTTTCCTCATGTTTTTTAAATCACGTTTCCTCTTTCCTTTTTGTTTTTCAGCCATGGGGGCAAAGATGCTGCTAGTGCCAGTTGCTGTGGGGCTAGCCCTGCTAAGTGGTAAGTAGGATACTGTCTATGGATACTAGTCTGTAGATGCACTGGCACACAGGTATCTAGAACACGTAGACCAAATGTCAGGCATGTGCCTAGAGAATAATGGTCAGAAAGTGTGCAGGTACAGCTGTACCAGGAGCTCCAGTTTTGTTTGCTTTGCATTGAATGTTTGTTTGTAGTCCTAAGTTTCAGGGACTCTGCAGATAGGTGGCTTCTTTTGGCTGCAATCATAGGGCAAGCCACCTGTCAGTTATCGTTAGGTTCCCTGGTCCCGCCCCCTTTTTGGGTTTTGGAGGGAATAGGAGACAGTTTGGGTTCAGTCCACACAGAGAAGCCTTTCATACAGTACATAATACCAAGAGCTCCTGTAGAAAGCTTCGTCTTCTATGGCTTGGCCGGGGAGAAAGGTCCCGTAGCTTGGCCGAGGATCATACAGCCTTACAGCTCCTTTGCTGAAGGACTTCAGCCAGCCATCACTGAAACCTGAACTTCTTTTTCCCTGGAAGTCTACAAAGCTCTGCTTGGTAAGGGTCGCTTGCGGAAGCCAGACGCAGTTGGTATCGGGTGCAGGGGCTCCACGCCAACAGAGGCAAGTACAGACTGCCCAGATTAGAAGTTAAGGATTTCCCCATTAGTTACAGTTATGAAGATAGTGCCTGTTCCCAGTGAACAAGATTGCAAGAGCCAATAGACTGTTAAGAAAGCTTTAAAGTACCTGTTTGTTGGACTTACTTTAAGCCTCTACAGAACTTTGTGTAAGGAAATCCAAGGGCCTTTAATCTGAGGCAGCCATGGCGTCCCGTTGGGCACACAGAATTTATGTCCTGTCTACAGTCTTATGCACAGGCCCAGCGTGCGACAGCACAGCGAGAAAGCTGATGGTAGGGCTTCCAGACTGAAAACTGAACAGGGTACGTTTAAAGATTGTGTAGAAGAGGGAATTTCAAAGGTGTTGAAGGAGACAATGAGTGATTTTTGCAATAGCTTTGGCAACAAAACATAAGAAAGATACCCCTCCCTGCAGAGAAAGAGCAACATGTCAGCAAGAGGGAGGATGTTCAAAAAAGATAAGAAGTTTTGCACCCCTCCCGAGAGGTGACATTTAGGGTACATGCTTATGCTTGAGTTAAGTGGCTAAAATATTGAGTTGCAAATCTGCTCAGCTTACGTAGGAAATGGGTTTGCGGTGAAGTGCAAAGTTTGCAAGTTGAGAACAAATTGTGGTTTTGACAACCAGACGTTCAGGCCCGGTGCAAGAAGACACAGTTAATCAAAATGTTGATTGGAGGCGGACTGGAAAGAGTAAAAGGTCAAGGTACTTTCCATACCCTTGTTTACCTAACCAAAAAGTTACAGAAACCAAGGAGGGGCGCAGCAGTCATTTGTAAATGTTGGTGCCTGCGTGCACTTAAACACGGCTGTCCGACTTCTTCATGGCCGTGATGAAAATAAAATGTTTTTGACCTTCTCCTGGGACAGTCTTCTTCCTTACATGCTCCTGTGACCTGGACCTAAGTATTAAGACCCGATTTTGGGTCTCTAATAGTGTCACTTGTTAGTCAGTTGTGTGCAAAGCAACATCTCCAGAAATACCACCTTCTACAACAACAGTTAAAGGCACAGGAGACTTATCTCATTTTTAATGTGGCACACCTATAATGAAGCTTTTCCTTGATTGGAGTCTACTGGGAAGAGGCTAATAGCTATGCAGTGGATGGCTTTCACAGTGTTCAAACTTATTTCTTCCGTCACACATGGGGGGGGGGGGCAATGCCAGCTAGTTTATAGAGTCTATCAACGGGTGTAGGTCTGAGACATCCTATGATTATTTTGCATGTTTCATTTAATGCTCTGTTCACCTGCTTTCTGTGAGCAGACATGTGCCACATAGGACAGGCATATTTGGCAGTTGAGTAAAACAAGGCCAGGGCCGATGTTCTTATTAATTTTGGATCTGCACCCCATGCACTGCCAGTAAGTCTCCCCCACCAATGTGTGATAGGAAGTTGCTGCTAACTGTAAGAGAAATAAGGTTGAACCCTGTGAAAGCCACCCAATGCATGGTTATTAGCCTCCTCCCAGTAGACTGAAATCAAGGAAAAGCTTCATGAGAACCACCACTTATCTTAATGTTCCCCCAGCAACAGCAACAGCAAGAGCATCCCTCTGGGCAGCTAAACCAGGAAATCCCAACTGGATGCCTCCCCCCCCCAGGGTTTTCCTCCAGGGGCAAACCAAGAATGGGCAACTTGGAAGTCCCTGAACAGACTCAGAAGTGGAGTGGGTAGATCAAACCTGGCAAAATGGCACTACCTAAAAGAATCCCACACCTTGTGTGGCTGTGGAGCAGAACAGACAACTCAGCATCTGTATGCTTGTCCACAATGTCCTGCCTCATGTACAGAAGAAGAATTTGTTTAAAGCTACAGACAATGAGGTTGCTGTTGCTCGTTTTTGGCCAAGCAAATATTTAGCTGGGTTGTTGTAGGTTTTTTTGCCATGGTCTAGAGGCATTTCTCCTGACGTTTCACCTGCATCTATGGCAAGCATCCTCAGAGGTAGTGAGGTCTGTTGGAACTAGGAAAATGGGTTTATATATCTGTGGAATGACCAGGGTGAGACAAAGGACTCCTGTCTGCTGGAGCTAGGTGTGAATGTTTCAATTGGCCACCTTGATTAGCATTTGATTGCCTGGCAGTGCCTGCGGCAATCTTTTGTTGAGAGGTGATTAGATGTCCTTGTTTGTTTCCTCTCTGTTGTTGTGCTGTTCTAATTTTAGAGTTTTTTAATACTGGTAGCCAGATTTTGTTCATTTTCATGGTTTCTTCCTTTCTGTTGTCCACATGCTTGTGGATTTCAATGGCTTCTCTGTGTAGTCTGACATGGTGATTGTTAGAGTGGTCCAGCATTTCTGTGTTCTTAAATAATATGCTGAGTCCATGCTTGTGGATTTTGCTATGATTAAGGAGAGTGGGCCAGGCAAAAAATGAGTTTACTTATTAAACATGAGTTAATCCACATATTAGTCTATAGACTTAGATTCTATTGTTTGTTTCAACTAGAGTAAAGCCACTGAATCAATCAAACTGATTTGTGTGTTGACTCGACATTAAATGATTAATTCCATAGGCTTACTGTACTGTTTCTTCACATCCCAAGTACAGTGGGGTATACGACCTCAATAGGATGTCCAAACCCTATTCACTTACACATTTGCAGAAGCATTCATTTACATAGACAGATAGACACACTCTCTCATATGATTCCTCCCTATTGCAAGAGAAATTAAAAATGGTTTCCATTCATCAATGTTGCAGTAGAGAAAATAGATAATGCTCGCCTTTTCAGTGTTGTCACCTCCATCACCCATTTTATACATCTGTATTAGGGACAGAAGGTTGACCCTTTGACTCATTGCCCATGCTCCATCCCTATATAAAGAGAAACTATATGTAAAATAATGTATACATTTTTGTGCATATGATAAACTGCACAAGAAGGCATACAGTTTTTCATGCAATTTTAAAAATCCAAATTATTGTAAAAATAATGCAGAAGAAACACGTGCTTGAAAAATAATTGTTGTAAATCATAAAAAAATCACCCATCCCTATTTAGAACCAGTGCTATCTAATTAAGGATACACACACACTCATATATATATCTATCTATATCTATATCTATATATATAATAAAAGTCAATGTTTGTGTGCGAGGGAGGACAGAGGAAGGAGGACGTAGGTAGGAGTTTGTGGCAGCTTTCTGATTGGCTGCCGCTGTGGTGCTATTTGCATATGGTCTCTGATTGGCCATCCTGAAAACTCCAACGTCCTCAAGTGGCTGAGAGTGGAAAGGAAATTTGCATATGGTCTCTGATTGGCCAGCCTCAATAGGACCCCCTGGTGGTGAAGAAGGTTAATGAAAGAAGCGGGGACATAAGAGAAGCCTCCCACAAGGATGGTAAAACATCAAAACATGTGTGCCAAGTTTGGCTGCCAATTTCACAAGCCACTGTGACCAACACGGGTGACGCATCTGCACCAAACTTGGCACACATAACCCCCATGACCCCCTTTACGCCCTGGTGAGGATTGGGGAGGTGGGCCACGGATTATGGGATTTGTAGTACTTTCAAATGGTTTGGTTCCACGCATCACTGTGTCCCCCAACAAACACCGATAAAGACCAAACTTGGCACACAGAGCCCCCATAACCCACTCTACATCCTACTGCGGTTTGGAGTAGGGCAGACCATGGATGATGGGACTTGAAGTACCTCTACTCGCTTTCCAAGACTGCTGCGACCCTCAACAATGACTGAACAACACCAAACTTGGCACATAGACCTCTCATGACCCACTTTACAGCCTGGTGTGGTTTCGCTGTGGATCGAGCATGGATTATGGGACTTGCAGTACCTTCGATCAATTCCTGAGACCACTGCAACCATCATCCAATTACCGATAAAGACCAAACTTGGCACACCGAGTCTCCATGATGCACTCTACATCCTGGTGTGGTTTGGAGGATGATGCACCATGGACGATGGGACTTGCAGTACCTTCACTCACTTAGTGAAACCACTGAGACCCTCATCCAATGACTGATGAAGACCAAACTTGGCACACAGAACCCCCATGACCAACTCAACATTCTGGTGAGGTTTGGGGGAGAACAGACTATGGATGATGGGACTTGCAGTACCTTAACTCACTTTCTGAGACCACTGCGACCCTCATCAATGACTAATCAAGACCAAACTTGGCACACAGAGCCCCCATGAGCGACTACATCCTGGTGCTGTTTGGAGGAGGACGGACAATGGATGATGGGACTTGCAGTACCTTCACTCACTTCCTGAAACCACAGTGACACTCATCCAAATACCAATAAAGACCAAACTTGGCACAGAGAGCCCCCATGGCCAACTCAACATTCTGGTGATGTTTGAGGGAGACTATGGATGACGGGACTTGCAGTACCTTAACTCACTTTCTGAGACC